GCAGGAGCCAGCCACTGGACCCGCCAATGATAATCGAGGATTTCAAGTACCTTGAAAGCTTGAAAGCAAGTGGTGTTGGAGAGATCACAAGATGAATAGCAACCCGCAACACCCCTGGCGTAGCTATGACATCTAAGAAGAAAAGACTGCATCGAAGTGGTTCTCAGCGTTTCGCTTGACCGTGCGAGACCTAGTCTGTCCTTGCTAAGGATGCTAGCCACTTCTGCGTATTTTACTATCGATGTNCGATGTCTTGGGAGCATTGCTCGAGTCTGATGGAAACTCTGAGAGAAGAACGACGACGTTCGTAGTCATAGGATAGATGCTAATAGTAGTCCTCTAAAAATTAAATCAGTCTACACCATCTCCAATGGCTCGGACATCTTTTGCATACACCTGCACACTCTCTATCTCTTCTTGTTCTCTAGGCACGTGCTGAGCAATACTGAATGAAGTTGGCAAAATATTAAAAATTGTTTCTCGTAGCTCAAGTGAACTGAATTCCATTTCGCTTGTTCGCCGAGCTTGGCGATTTGTTTGCAAACGTTTCATCACCAGCCGAGGTCATATCATCACCTCGGCCAGTGATGAAACGTTTGCAAACAAATCGCCAAGCTCGGCAAACAGACGAAATGGAAAACTGAGCGAAGTGACGCGGCAACCATACGATGATTGGACGTTGGGATATTGTTTTCGGTTGGTGCAACCCACATTCCAAGCTTGGGCCCGAAGGGACGCAGATTGTGGTTGTACCGAGAAGCGGAGAGATATAGCTCCGAATAGAATTCAGTCGCGGGAATGTTGTACGCGCTGAAAACACTATTTTCCGGTCACAAATTTGAATACAGAAGTAAAAAAAACATGGGTTTGCACAATGTATCATCCACAGTCGTTTATCTGCATCTGTACACACGTGCATACTGCAGTCAAAGTGATTTTTATAGTCCGTGAGATAACCGTCAGACGAAGACAAGATCGCTAATCACAACGGACAAGACGACACACTAACACAAGGAATGAGAGTAAGGGTTCACGATCTTCCCGTCGTCTCATGTTTATTATCCCACGGGCTATAGAAATCATCTTGACTGCAGCAGTAGACACGTGTGTGTACACACGCAGTGAAATGACCGTGGATACATTGTGCGAACACCTGCGTTTCGGACTATTCTATTCAAACAACCGCACAAAAAGACAGCACAAGCGTCAAATTGTGCGCTGTGAAACAAACGAAAAAGCAAACACATCGTTCTTGCTGGTGGGGAATTAACGATCTCCGACGGAGTGAAACCCACACCTAAGACCATCAAGAGTGCCTGGTGCCTCTGAACAATCGAATGGGCTAATCCAAGCTTGATGCTCTAAATTGTTCTTGCTAGCTGCAATTTGTTTAAACTCATTTTTCCCATTTGTATCCGCGGTTTTTTGTTCTTGCGTTGACACCATATATGCTCTCCAAATTGTGTCCATAAACGCACCTATTTTCTTCTCAAATATATAATTTACAATAATGGGTGTATAGATACGGACAGGCATTTCTTAATCAGTTCACTGATAACTGATCACTATGATTTTATATGGCGGAGGTGGGTTCGTTGAAACTAGCCGCAATAAACGCGACTCGAGTGTCTTTTAGACAATATTTTACAGTCAGTAGTATCAGAATGACTGGAAAATTTGCCTTGGAAGGGTTATCAACAAGCGATTCACTCTAGTTGATGCTCTATAGAACAGGAAAAGTAAAAAATGAACTACCAGACTATTTAAAAACATTGTAAGGTAAGAAAAGATGAATAATGTGATTGAGACCGTCAGAGGTACCTAGTCCGTTGGTTCCCTTGTGACCATTGGTCATATCCACAAGGTTACTACTACTAGAGCTCGTGTCCAGACCATTCCATTGCCCGGCAGATTTTGTTCGCAAAGCAGTCAAACACCGCTTCACATCCTGATAGGTCAGATTAACTGCCAACTGAATCGGTTCGGCCAGGGGTAAATCCAATGTGAGCGTGCCGGAGACAGTTGCACTGGGTTTGGTGGTTCGATCCAACTCGTGCAACTTTTCCAGTTGCAACTGAGTAGCAATCGGTGAGGTGAAGGGAATCACGTTGATAAGAATTGACTGTGGGTAGAGAAGGGGAGAGAAGGGGAAGGGGCGGAGTAAGCACCGGTTGCATAAAATTTTGTATCAATACTGAGAGTACACGGGCAGAGAGAAAGACCAGATGTTCCCCAGTTTTCTTAAAATGAGAACTGTTCATTTAGAGTTAATACTGAGATTTACGAGAATAACAAACGCTGCAGCTTGTAGTTTGTCTTCTGGTTGAAAGATTCAGTCATATAGGTCGCGTTAGGCTCCTCTAGATCATGATAACCGGCGGTCAGAAACAGAAGTGATATGGCTGGATGTCGTAAACAGTGGCATTCGTAAATCTGCTCACTGCCCTTGCAATCCTAGTTTATTTTAATTTTCCATCTTCTTTTACTCTACTCTCAATATTTCAATATTCCTTCCGCTCTTTTATCCAAATGGACAGTCCAGAAAGGAAAACCAAAACCGACACACGAAAGCTCATGGGTAATGGTTCTAGAAACTGAACTGAGTTGTATGCAACGTGGTCAATCCCTCAGAGTCGGTGCGTTAACGAACAGATCCCGGAAATCATATACAGTTCTACATGGCAAACAAACAAGAAGTATGTGGGAGTTAAAAACTATGCTATATCATTATTGCACTCACACTTGAAGTGATTAGGTTTAGGCTGCGGAAATTCGTGACACAACACAAATCTGCATCGGGCAGAGAACCGAACCGTGACCAACTTACGTGCGTGAGACTTAATCTCAGAACTGAGTTATGGATGTTGACTATACAAAGAACGAGAGAGCTTTTCGTGCTAATGCTTTTTTCTGCGAAGGTATGAATAATCGATTAAATTGCTTTTCATAAAACTTGCACTGGATTAACCAGTCGTTGTAGGCCTATCCGGAAACCGGCGCGTCAGCTTCTGCATGGGTAATGTACCTTTAAAAGGCAAAATGCTGCTAATGTATTGAGC